GCCTGCCACCCGCTTTGGCTGCAGCTTGCAAGGCTGTGACCCCCCCCTCGGGGCACCTTCCATGCCCCAGCTCGGGGCCATCCGGGCAGGCAGTTCCTGGGCCCTGCAGTGAGGGAACCCCGCAGGGGCTGGGCGCACTTACTTGTCTTTGCTGGTGTCCTCGATGCCCTGCAGACAGAGACAGAGGGTGTCAGGGGAGATTCAGGGTGTCACCACTCCTCCCTGCGGGGGCGGGGGGGGGGCAGAAGCCTCAGGGTCCCTGCCCCCCACAGCACCAGCAGGGAGGGAGGAGCTCCTGCTCCCAGATGGGCAGGGCTGGGAAATTCCCTGCCCAGGCCCCAGCTACAGCCCCCCAGGCACTTGCACCCCCCTCCCGCCGCAAGATCCTTCTGACTGATCCCACCCCCTTGCTCCCAAGCTAACGGTGCCACTCAGCAGAGTGCGCCACCGCCAGGCATTGTGCTGTGTACAGGCAGGGGACAGGAGGGGAAACCGAGGCAGAGACTTGCCTGAGGCGTCACAGCAGAGCGGGGCAGAGCACCAGAGTCAGGACCCAGGAGTCTGGATCTCCATCCACAAGGCCATCATAATGCCCGCGGTGCAGCATCCTCTCCCCTGGGACAGCCGCATCCCCACGCCCCACCCCGGTGCCGCCTTCCCCCAGCTCCCGGTGCTGTTCCCTGGCAGGGCATGCGGGGGGGACCCTTCGCCAGCCGACTGGAGCCCTGGCGACCTACAGTGGGGTGGCAGCATTGCGCCCCTGAGCCTGTGCCCCACGGGAAGGGAGCTGGGCAGCACTGGGGGAGAGGGGGAGATGTGAGGCAGGAGGGATCTAGGGGCTCTGCTCCTCCCCCTCCACAGTCCGGCTGGACCCACAGAAGTGGCCCCGTGCGGCTCCCACACCCCATTTCCCCACCTCCAGACACCGGCCCCATGGCTTGGCCCAGAGACGGGCTCACAGCGCAGGATGTACTGGCCCACCTGCCCCACCACACTGCCCACCCAGGCACCACCGGGGCAGACACGTCCAGCCGTGCCATGGCAACGGGCACTGCACAGATGAGAGACTGTGCTATAGCAACCGGCTCCATGGCAACCAGCTCCAGGCTGACCGTGAGCCATTCCATGGCAACCGATGCTGGACTGCGCCATGCCCATGCACCGAACCAAAGCAACCGGTAGGGCAAACGCCGCAGACTGTGCCCTGGTGCCTGGGGCCAGGCCAGAGCCCAGCCATGCCCTAGCGCCCGGCGTCATGACAACAAAGGGCAGAATGGCAACCGTGCGAACAAGCCATTCCATAGCAACCAACCACACATGCGCCATGAGAATGAACTGTCCCCCCCCCACCGCTCCCAGCGCAGCTCCCCAGGGGGGGCAGGAAGCGAGCTGGGGAAAACCAATTCAAAGTGCTGGAATGAGGGGAGAGGGGCAGGAAGGGGGGGCACATTGGCAGACGGGGGTGGGGGGAGCTCCCCTCTCCAGACAGGACTGAGTGAGCCCTGGAGGGGGCATGGAGCACCAGTGTCAGAGGGGTCAATGCATGGGGGGGCCCCACTCCCACATGCCCCCCGCCTTGGTTAGGGGAACCCCCGACATGCAGACCAACAAGACCCACCCCTCTCACAGGCCAGGCCCAGACTCCAGCTGACAGAGACCCTCTTCTTCCTTCCTTCGCCCCCGGGCAGAGAAAGACCCCCCCAGTGCCGCCCCCCCGACTCACCATCTGCCGGAAGGCCTTGGAGTCCTTGGTGCGGGAGAAGGTGCGGTCGGGCACCCAGCGTGGCACCAGCCCCTCTGTGGAGTTGGCCCGCGCCCGCTGCAGCTTGGCCAGGATGGCCTTCTCTTCCTTCTGCTCGGGGAGAGAAGGGCGCAGGGTGAGGGGCCCCACCGAGGCACCCCCCAGCACCCATTGGAGCGTCCCTCCACCCAGCACCCACCCCCGCCCCGAGCACCTGCCCTACCCAGCACCCACTAGAGTCAGCCCCACCCCCGAACGCTCACCCCAGAGAGGCGGCCCCCCGTGCCAGGGACGCATCGCCCCCACCCCCGAGCCCGGCTCCCGGACTCACGCGCTTCTGGCTGCAGCCCACGATGAGGAAGGTCTCGATGTTGTGCTCCTTGAGGTAGGCATTACGCTCGCCCCCGTGGCCGGGCTCCACCTCGTAGTCCCCGTTCAGGTACTGCAGCGTCGCCCACGTGATGTGGATGCGCCTGGGGGGGCGGGGGGACGGTTGGACGCTGAGCCCGAGAGTCATGCCCGCCCCGTTCCCTGTCTAACCCGCCGCACCCCCAGCGTGAGAGTCCCCAGGATGGGGCCCCACCCTCTGGGGCAGGACAGAGCAGCTGCTTAACCCACAGCCACAGGCGGGAACTGCAAGGAGAGCGCCCCCTACTGAGACCCCTGAAGTGCAGCCTCCTAGCGCTGCCCTGGGGCCAGGCCCCCGCCTGCCCCCCGCAGTACAGTACCCCCTGCACCCGCTGGGGAGACCCCCCGCCTGCCCCCTGCAGCACAGTGCCCCCTGCACCCACTGGGGAGAGCCCCCCGCCTGCCCCCTGCACCCACTGGGGAGAGCCCCCCGCCTGTCCCCCGCAGCACAGCTCCCCTGGCACCACAGAGGGGCCAGCGCTGACTGCTGGGGAGAGAGCCCCCTGCTGAGCAGGCGGTTTCCCGGGGGGCTCCCATCTAGGCACTGCCCCGGCCTGATCCTTCTTAGTCACGAGCCCTCCGCCCCCCCCCCCACCTCCGCATCCTCCACTCACCCAGCTTTGCCTCCGGCTTCCATCTGATTGGCCAAGGTCACGTCGTTGGACCAGACGTCGAACTGCCACTTGCGCAGTCCCAGCACCCCGCAGTGCACGCGCCCGCTGTGGATGCCCACCCGCATGTTCACGTTCACCCCCGTCACCTCGCGCACCAGCCTGGGGGGGCACAGAGAGCGTCAGATCTGCCCACTCCCCGCAGCAGCGGGGGACCCCAGAGCACAAGGGAGCGGGTGTGACCTGCTCGCCATGGAGAGAACAATGGCAAGTCACGGCTGTGCCAGGCTGGCAAGACACAGATGTGTCCGGGGCAGGTGACATGAACCATCCGGCCCCTCGTGAGCAGCACGGCGGGAGGGAGGGGGGACACCTCATCCTGCCTGAGTGTGCCAGCTCTGGGCGTGACCCTGGTCTGCCACACAAGTCGGGGAGAGCTTGCATGAGCGGAGCGAGCACCCGGAGCACGTGGCTTGGGTGTAGCGCGTACGCATCAACGGATGGAGCAGGTGCACGGTGCGTGTTGTACGTAGGGCAAGCGTGCACTGCACCAATGGCAAGTGTGCACCGTGCACTGCAGGTGCCTGTGCATCATCGGTGCGTGCCACGCACGAGGCTGGCGGCTGCGTGCAGTGCACAAGCACGTGGGTGCGACGACGTGAGCGGCTGGCCCAGGGCTTCCCCCCACAACTCACGAGATGGCTTCGATCATGTCGACCCCCATCTCCACGCAGCAGTGAGCGTGGTCTCCCCGCGCCTCGGGCAGCCCTGACACACAGTAATAGCAGTCACCGAGGATCTTGATCCGCAGACAGTGGTTCTCCTGCGAGAGGGGCAGAGGGGGGCTCATGGGGTCTGCCCAGTGACACCAGCCCACAGGCAGACCCCACCCACCAGCCTGCCCCCCTTGCCAACCACACCCAGTCAGCCCCCCAGCCTACCCCACCCCCCCATGTCCCACCAGCCCCCAGCTTGCCGCCCCCACAACACGCTCACCGAGGCCTGTGACGAAGTGGGACTGTTCTTAATGTTTCCTCTGAATACTGTGTGGGTGCCTCAGTTTCCCCTATGCATTTCTTAAGTCTCTAGGTGGTGGGGAAAGGCCAGTGCGCATAAATCACTGACACTCTGTCTCCCTGGCAACAAATGGCCAGGGCCCCTTCCCCCACACCCCCCCCCCCCAACCACCACACAGAGTCATCACAAAAAAACGACGCTACAC